ATCTCGTTTCGCATAAAGGCTTCGTGAGAATATCTGCAACTTGGTTCTCCGTAGGGATATACTCTATTTTCAGATCTTTCTTTTCAACATGATCCCTTATGAAATGATGTCGTATGTCGATATGTTTGGTTCTTGAGTGAAGCACCGGATTGTGGGTGATAGCGATTGCACTTGTAATGTCACAAAATATGCTAACATCGTCGCAATTCACTCCATAATCCTTCAATTGTTGCTTGATCCACAAAATTTGAGCACAACAACTTCCTGCAGAAATATATTCGACCTCGGCGGTACTAGTTGCGATGGAATTTTGCTTTTTGCTAAACCAAGAAACAAGCCTTCCTCCCAAGAATTGACACGTTCCGGAGGTGCTTTTTCTGTCTATTTTACAACCTGCAAAATCCGCATCTGAAAAACCAGTTAGCGTAAAATCTGTACCTTTAGGATACCACAATCCAACATTGATTGTGCCCTTCAAGTATCGTATGATTTTCTTTGTTGCGGTGAGGTGACTTTCTTTTGGATTTGCTTAGAATCTTGCACACACTCCCACAGCATAAGAAATGTCCGGCCTGCTTGCAGTGAGGTATAGTAGTGAACTAATCATTCCTCTATACTTCGTTTGTTCGACATCTTTTCCATCTTCGTCTTTGTCTAGCCTTATTGATGTACTCATAGGAATTTTGATCGATGATTTCCCATCAAGGCCAAACTTCTTTATCAAGTCGCGAGTGTACTTTGCTCGATTGATGAATATTCCTTCCTTCAATTGTTTGACTTGTAAGCCCAAGAAATAATTCAATTCACCCATCATGCTCATTTCGAATTTATTCTGCATAAGCTTTGAAAATTTCTCACACAAAGAATTGTTAGTGCTTCCAAAAATAATATCATCAACATATATTTGCACTAATAAAATATGATCACCATCTTGAATTCTAAAGAGAGTTTTGTCAACAAGGCCTTTGGTGAATCCACAGCTTTTCAAGAACATTGACAAGGTATCATACCAAGCTCTAGGTGCTTGTTTCAACCCATACAATGCCTTTTTAAGTTTGTAGACTTTGTCACCTTCGCCTTTTACCTCAAAACCTGGGGGTTGTTCGACATAAACTTCTTCTTCGAGTAGTCCATTCAAGAATGCGCTTTTCACGTCCATTTGATAAACGGTGAAATCTTTGTGTGCGGCGTAGGCTAGAAAAATTCTGATTGCTTCAAGTCTGGCTACCGGTGCAAAGGTTTCATCAAAATCTATTCCTTCTTCTTGAGAGTATCCTTTTGCAACGAGCCTTGCTTTATTCCTAACAATCACGCCTTCTTTGTTTGCTTTGTTCCGGAAGACCCATTTAGTTCCTACAACATTGTGGTTCATTGGTCTTGGAACAAGTTCCCAAACGTCATTTCTTTTGAATTGATCGAGTTCCTCTTGCATGGCGTCAACCCAACTTGGATCATTTAGAGCTTCGTCCACTTCTTTTGGTTCAATCTGTGATAGATAACATGTGAACAATGCTTCCATGGTAGATGATCTTGTTTTCACGCCATCTCGAACATTTCCGATCACTAAATCTGGTGGGTGATTTTTGAGCCATCTTAAGTCTGGTTCAAATGGGTGCATGGTACTGGGTGGATTTACTGGCTGAGAAGTGGTTCGAATTTCTGCTTCATTCTGTAGATTTTCAACTTCTCTAGTAATTGCATCTAAGGGCTGATTTGCAATTTCCACTTCAACTGCATCCCTGGGTTGATTTGCAATTTCAATACCAATTGCATCCCGCATTTCATTTCTTACTGGATGATGGATGGGATTTTCTAGAGAATTAATTTCCAACTCATCCATTCCCTGCAAAATATTTTCTTCACACGTATCATCAGTATCACAAAAATCAATATGACACTTGTTACCATTTTGCTCAATATTTTCGCCATTTTCGTCCAGAGCATCAATATTGGCGTGTGATTTTTCATCAAATACCACGTGTATGGATTCTTCAACCACCATTTTTCTTTTGTTCAACACTCTGAATGCTTTGCTGGTAGTCGAATATCCTAGAAAAATTCCTTCATATGCACGCTCATCAAAGGCTTTTAGATGCAATTTATCATTAATATGAATAAAGCACTTGCATCCAAAAATATGAAAATAACCAATATTTGGTTTTCTCCCTTTATATAGCTCATATGGCGTCTTGCTATACTGCTTATGGATCATGCTTCGATTTTGAGTATAACAGGCAGTGTTGATAGCTTCCGCCCAATATCTTTTCGGGAGACCGGCTGCACTAATCATCACTCGTGCGGCTTCTTTAAGCGGCCGGTTTCTTCTTTCGGCAACACCATTTTGTTGTGGTGTTCTTGCGGCAGATAATTGATGAGAAATTCAATGTGAATTGCAAAAAGCTTATATAACTCCATTCACGAACTCGGTTCCACGATCGGTTCGGATTTTTGATATTTTCAATTCTTTCTCATTTTGTAGTTGCTTCAACAGCTTCGGCAACACTTGTTCAACTTCATTTTTCTTCATTCGAATTTCTGGCCATTAAGCATACGGAATCTTTGCTTGTGCTCCAATCAACAATATACATATTCTTTCGCCTTTTTCCAGTGAGCACAACTTCATTTGAGAGCTCATTTTTTATTAGGCAATTATCTTTGGAAAATTCCACAAGATAGCCTTTATCACAAAATTGACTAGTGCTCAACAAATTGAATTTTAGGCCTTCAACAAATGAAACATCTTCGATCTTCAAACCATTTCTTTCAATTGTACCAACTCCTTTTGTAGTTCCATAATTTTGATTTCCTCCAAATATCACTTTTGGTCCATCAATTTTCTTGAAATTCACTAGACAAGATTTATTTCTAGTCATGTGGCGTGAGCAACCACTGTCGATGTACCAAACATCCTACAAAAAAGATTAGTTGGTTTTAGGTACCCATACTTGCTTGGATCCTTTGCTGTTAGTAATTTTTGGTAACCAAACCCACCTAGATCCTATTGAATTAAGATAAGGCGGTTTGTAACCATTTGAAACACGGTAATCATAATTAACTTTTGAAAACATTTTTGGCGCCGGGTTTTGAAAAACATTTTTATATCTAGGCACCTGGGAAGAGGATTGTTGCTTTGGTCTATAAGAAGCATTAAAACAAGATTTACACAACCAATCCTTTTGAGTGGAATAAAATCTTCCATCTCTATTTCTAGAAAAGCTTCCCTCTTTTCTAAAAATTCTTTTTGCACTTGACTCTTTGGCATATCTTTGCTTGAAGAATTTTTGTTGCTTTGTCGTAGTATTGAACTGTTTCGTCCTATCAACATTCAACTTTGCTTTCTCATGATAGCCAAGTCCTTGTCTCATTGTGCTATACTGACTTTTAACAAATTTTACCATTTGCACTTTATTAGTTAAAGGAGTAGTAGAATTAGTCAGTTTCGGAGGGGTTTGAGAACATGTGGAGTCATAACCGATTCCGGTTCTATCTCCTGATGGCTTTTGCATGTTTACCATTTTATCCATAATTTTGGACGAATTAGTAAACGTAGCAATAGTAGCCCGAAGGTTATGTTCTCTAACCTCTCTTAATTTACACTCTTCTTGAAGTTGTATATTTTCACTCTTCAAGTTACTCACTTCAAGTAAAGCATCTTGCAATTTTTTATTCATCTCTTCTTTTTCAAGAATTAGAATATTATTGCGCTCCTTGAGTTGAGGATGAGTGAGCATAATCTCTTGACAATCTCGCATTAGACTGCCAATAGATTCACGAGAAAAAGAGGAATTAACAGAATTGAAAGAATTAGATGTTACCTCTTCTTCCTCTGCTCCAAGAGCCATAAAGCACTCTTCACTAGAACTCAACTCATTTGACATACATACTAGAGCCGTGTCATCTTCCGAACTTGAACTTTCATCACTTGATGACAATCCATTCGACTCATCATTTTCATTTGGTTCATTGCTAACGAGAGCTTTTCTTTTGTCGCGCTTGAACCTTCGATCTTTGCTTTCGGATTTATTCGGTGTAGATTCAACATTTATGCCTTGATACTTGCTAACGGTCGGATACGGACAATTTATTTTGAAATGTCCGGGTTTGCGGCAATTGTAGCATAAATTGTTGTTTTCTTCGACTTTCTCTTCTTGTGTCGTGCGAGAGACGAATTTTCCACGAGCAGAATTTTTGTTGTCTCCTTTTCGCATGAACCTTTTGAATTTTCTAACAAAAAGAGCAAATTGTTCGTCAGTTATAAAATCAATATTATCTACTGACCTGGAGGTTGACGGTTGTTCGGCCATTAGAGCTGGATTTCGAATTTCATGAACTTCATCATCTTTGGCCTTCATTTCGAACTCATATGCTTTAAGATCACTAAATAATTTGTCGGTTGACAATATTCTTAGATCTCGGTGATCTCGCATAGCTGTAACTTTCATATCCCATGTAGATGGTAAGCCTCGTAGGATTTTGAGATTAATTTCCTTTTGGCTAATATTTTTGCCAAGGTCATTAATTTCTCCAAGTATTTTAATCAATCGAGCTTCCATATCAACAATGGATTCATTTGAGAGCATTTTGAAGTCACTAGTACAAAAACAGTCATTCGCGTCCAAAGTTAAGGCTAATTCGCGTCCAAAGTAGCTGGGACGCAGATTGCGGGGACGCTGATTGTATAAACAATCAGCGTCCAAAGTAGCTTTGGACGCGCAAAATGATTATTCGCGTCCAAAGTTGAAGAACTTTGGACGCAAAAAATGATAATTCGCGTCCAAAGTTCGTGAACTTTGGACGCGAATTATCATTTTTAAAAATAAAATACTACCTTTGAGCGTCCAAAGTTCATGAACTTTGGACGCGCAAAGGTAACGTTTTGATTTAAAAAATTATAATTCGCGTCCAAAGTTCGTGAACTTTGGACGCGTATATTAAAAGAAAAATTTTAAAAAAAAATTATTTTTTTTATAAAACTACCAATATTTTCCTGTACATTCCAGCATAACTACCAAATAATATATTTCAACATTAATCAATTTAAGATGTATACTACACACCAATTCTATCAACTAAAACACACCAATCTAAAATTTCAATTCTAATAACATTTTACTACAAATAAACTACAAATTCTAAATGTTAATAATTAAAATAAACTACTTAAAACTGCAGACCAAAAAACACGAGCATTCCAAAACGTAATAGATGCTCAGCACCATACACAGATGGAGAGACTCCATCTTTAATTGCTTCTTGATATTGCTCGCGCTCATTCTTGTAAAGGAGCATAGCAGACAATGCTTTGTCAAAGTAACATTGCAATCCACTAAGAATTTCGCTTACTGAATCAGCAATTCTTCACCCACCAAAAATATTGAACATCAGAACCACAATATCCATCCTCACAAGCTGAACAGACAACTAGTTTTAAAAGTATAATGAGACCTAATTACTAACAAAAACATATTTAGTATAAATATTCACATTCCATTAGAATAAAGACTTGAGAAATTTCAGCTTCAAAGAATTACCATATCATGCAAAAATCACTAATAAAAGAAACAACTTGCACTAAAAAATTATCAAGATAGGGAGGAACATGTGAAATAACATGAACTCACATTCCATCGTTTTTTAGGCGATAGTCATTGTACTTGCTTAGTATTTCATTTACACTCGGAGAACGAGGAAGTTGGACAAGCTGCAAAATATGTATATAAAAGGCATTAATACCTTAAACTTGTTATGACCTATGTACTTTATTTAGATTTTTTTCATTGAACTAAATGCACTTATGCTAACTTTATGTGTACACAAAACATATGTTAAACAGAGCTTAATAAACTTACACCAAACTGAATTTCAATGTATACATACAGAGAATGCCTCTTTTTTACCTTGGCCAAATGGGTAATAAATTCACAATCATCAACCAGCTGCTTCTTTAATGAGGATGGAATTTGAATGTTAAAACCAAGCTTCTCTGAAGGTAGGACACCTTTGTCCTGGAAAAAGTGATAAAACAATTCAACCCAATGCCTATATATTATCATTAAAGAAAATTTGAGTACAATGCTTTGGGAGGTCTGACTCTACATATAGGAATTGATAGAAATGCACTAGGAAGCCAGCACTGTAGAGCCAATGTGCAATATCTAACTGGATCAAGATAGACAGCAATGAAGTACAAGCAGTTTAACAGCCAACAACACCATTAACTTTAAGAAAACAATGCATTTGTCCATTAGAGATTTCACTAAAAGGATAGTTCTTTTGAGACCTGTTGATGGCAGCTCATATGAAATTATTACCTTCTTTACGAAGCAAGAATAGAATGAAGAGAGCCAATCATCTTCAGCACCAAACAGTAATGATGAGAGTAGGCTTGCCTCTGATAGAGTGCAGCAATTAAAACAAATGAATGAACTTTATTTCACAAGAAAATAGAACAGAATGTTATAATTTTGAGTAAACTGGAGTCTCAAAATGTCTTTGCTCAGATATTTCTGCAGTTCCTATTTCCATATAAAGTTACACCAATCTTTTTAAGCACTCAATCCCATATAAAGTTACACCAATCTTTTTAAGCAACTACCATCAATTCAGCACACAGGACGCTAAAATTTTGATTGTTATGTACTCATGGCATGGTTAATTAATTCCCCCAAAATTAGGTGAATTTACCTGTTGTATGAGATTGCCAAAGGTATCAGCAACTCAAAAGTCAAATCATTAATTTTATTTCATGTTAGCTCACTTTTAGTTTCACTTCCTTCTTGACTTATTCACACTTTTCCCCTTACAATAACCAAAGAGAGTTTCAGAAAGATGGGAAAGAGCTAAAGCTATACGGGAAATTAAAATAAAGAACAGAAGGAAAAGAATATATAGAATAATAAGAGCATGTAATTAAGAAGTGATATACCTGCATATAAGCTACAGCTTCTGAAACAGAGAATAGTGTATTGAGGAACAACCATCGACTCTCCTTCCGCAAATCCACCAGCTCTCTCCCATATATCTCACTTCCATTGAACACAAAGATAAAGAGTCACATTAAACCGATTTGTCATTAAGTACATGTCCAGATGTTGAATACTTATGCATAAAGTACCATATCAAAGAATTTAATTTGAACATAAATATATAACTGTTATTCCATGGCTCCTCAGAGGTTCAGTAATGCTAAAATTAATTGAATAGCTCATGAGCAATGGCAGATCTTACAAGTTAAAAAGATTGTATAAATATAAGCCATATATTAAATTTAAGATGGCAAAGGACTCGGTTAATTCTTATTCCTCAAAGTGAACAATCAAAAGTATTCATTCTTACCTCACTTCTCGAGTAGATAACATACTTATTCCATGCATAGCTCTCTTAACATATCCAAAACGGTCTGCTTTAACCAGATTACCTTTCTCTTTATCAATAATAAGCCCTCTAATGACCTACATAACCATGTTGCATTGTCTTCTCTGCATCTGTGAGTACATATATAACAATATGTATGCAAATGTAAGGGGAATGCTCTACCATACCAATTCAGGGTCAAAAGCAAGCCCATCCACAGGAAAGCCCATATTTTTCAAATTGTCCATACAATAATCATAAGCCCTTCCTTCCCAAGCCTATAAGTTTAGAAGTCAAAGCATTCCCATCATTTAACTGGGGAGAAAGATTAGCCAATGAAGATTTCAGATATAAGAATAAAGAAATACTATTTACCATAACATTATAGTGTATAAGAGTATAGTCCATATCATATCCAATCGCACTGATTGACCGCAGATTCAATGTGCGACTGCAAAATATGCCACGGGGTGAATGTCTTGTGGAAAATGGACCCTGCAGTTTGTTTCCAAATCAAAGAACTAAACAACATAGCACATTTAAACATAGAAATACTAGAACCTATGAGAAAAATAAGGGCTAATGAACATGGGATAACACATCATGTGATCACACATGGATTTCATCATTCAAGAGTGATGATAACTCAAGACCATTAACTTCTATAACTACTGTCACTTATAGGTGCAGTGATTAATAGCTATATAGAAGGTGACATATCTAATGGACAACCTTCATATTTATACTTCTGCAGACAATGCTAATAGTTGCAAAAAAGTCAGTAGTTGCCACTAGGATATAACTGGGATTTTTTCTGTTTCATAAATAATAACAATTAATTACCTTCAGTTAGAGCTCAATTTTTCAAAATAAGTCCGATAATATTTGCTGTATTTCTATAGTATACAGGTACTCTACTATGCCCCATTGTCATTATAGAATTAAGCGTCTCCCTACGGCCTACACAAGAAAGTGGGTAATCGAAATGTAAAGGTCAGTACTAAAATAGTCACAAAGATTAAAGCTTCGAGGGAACAGTTAAAGCATAAACCCACAAATCAAGAGTTCCATCCAGGTCAACAGAGAATGCCTTCGATATCGGTGTCATGACATCTTTAGCTGTTTTCTCCGTCAGCTCAAGAGCACCAGCAATAATGGTTGTTTCGTCATGAGTCAGATCGCCTCCTTTCCCAGCCTAACATGGAATAGAAAACGAAAGTTAGGGGTAATTTAAGCGGAAAAAGAGAGATTAAGGAAGACATTACAGCTTGTACACATGATAAGGACCAAACCTCGTTTCCATGAAAATCAACAAATGTTTTCAGCTCTGCCCTGCGTAGGAGAGCAGAGTGGTCTTTTCCCAACATCCAGTCCAAAACCTAGAACCAAAACCAAACATAAGACATTTCCTAGAAATATACAAAATTCTGCAATACACACAATACTAAATCTATGTGCTTGCATATCCATTTTACCTTACTAATTGGATAAGCAACTGGGAAAAAAAGCCAAAGCAGCAGACGAACGAAAGGTGCCACTGTCGCTCCAACTGTCCAAGAATATAGGCAGAGACTAGACGAAACGAGAAACCAAAAAAAGGAATCAACTAAGTTAGCAATGAGAACACACACAATTATATTACTCCAGATCAAGTAAACCATGTCCCACAAACCTCCATTGCTAAAGAGTTGCCAATCAAGAGTGTACAAAGCAAAAGATGTTGATTTTTCACAACTGGAAGAATTCTAGCTGCAAAAGAAAAACAAAAAAAGAGTACTAAATTCCTGATTTAAGCACAAATCTAAACACAGAAACCATTCTTGAGCTCTTGATTTAAGTTCAAAAATGTTCCTCCTTTCTAATTTAGTTCTCAAGAAAACTACATAGATTTCACCACTAAACCAATCTAAAGTACCCAAACACGAGACAAAGAAAGGGAACAAACTTTGAAGAATTGCTCAAAAACGAAACAATAATAGATAAATCAATAAAAAAATTACAAAAAATAGATGAAATAATCAATAAAAGCATGTTTGATAGCTGTAGCGTCGCAGGGTAGCTGGAGGAGGGAACGACGAAGAAGATCGGAAGGGTAGGCGGTGGAGACGGCGTTGGCGGCTGCAGATCGACGGCACGCTATTCCGAAACGACAAAGCTGTGGTGGGGTGTCGAATGTGGCGGTGTGCGACGACAGAATAGATGGTGGTGTGCGGTGAGACGATCGAAGCGGTGGATCGCAGCAGAGGGATGAAGCTGCGATGGACGGAGACGGCGAGGAGCTGCGATCTGATCTGATTTGAGCTAGGGTTGGTTGGATAAATTTAATAAGGCGCGTCCAAAGTTACCCATTTTGGACGCGCTTGATTATTATTCGCGTCCAAAGTACTGAGCTTTGGACGCGAATAATAGGAGGATTTTAATATTGGCGTCCAAAGTACAGAGCTTTGGACGTCAATACTGTTTTAAAATTTAAAAAAAAAAGAAAATTATTTATATAGTGGCATTTTAATTACAAAAATGCCACCGCATTACACTTTAGGCGTCCAAAGTTCTAATTTTGGACGCAAATTAGTCGATTTTATTGATGTTTTTTGTACTAGTGAGTCCTCGAACTTCTTCATAGCAATTGTGAGCTTATTATCTTTCTCTTGTTCATCTCCTTCTCCGATCTTGATGAGAGTATCCCAAATATCTTTTGCACTTGTACATTTTCGAACCTTTGGGAATATTGTATCATCAATGGCTTTGAACAGAATATCTTTGGCAATATTGTCAAGATTGTTCCTCTTTCTATCATCCGGCGTCCATTCCGGTTTTGGCTTTGGTACGAATTGTTGAGCATCCGGTGATAGAAGAAAAGTCGTATTCACTTTCAATATTTCGATCGGTCTGTTGGAGATAACTTCCCACATTTCATCATGTAAAGCAGATAGATGAACCTGCATACGAACTTTCCAATCATCAAATTTATCAAGTGAAAATAACAGATTTTGAGCTAAATCTTTATTCATCTTCTTGGTGGATACGAGAGACAAATAATCCAATTTACACACACTGGGTAAGATGGATCTGTCTAGCAGTCAGAAACAAGGTTGACCCAATTAGGCAGCTAGCTTTAGAAAGCAAATTGGCCTAAATAGACAGCCTGCTATGATACCAATTGTTGGTCCCAAAAGAGGTAAGGTGAAAGTCTAGACGGGGGGGGGGGGGGGGGGGGGGTGAATAGACTTTCAAACTTCTTGCACAATATAACAATTGGTAAGCCAGAGATAAACCAAGACTCTTAACTAGATTGTTAGAGTCCGGTGCACAGCGGAATTAAATAAACGATACGGTGTGTGTGTAGATCGTGTCAAGATTATTGACGTGAGAAGCAAGCAAGAGCGGTAAGTAAAGAAAGCAGTAAAGAACACAAGGCAATTTATAGTGGTTCGCGAGGTGATGTAATCCTCCTACTCCACTTGCTCTTTTCTCCAAGAGCCAATTCACTATATCCACCACTTCTTGGTTCCAAGATACAATGAATTCCGTGATCTAGTGCTTTGATCACCAAGCCCACACTAATCACGCCCAGTGCCTCCGACACTGCTGCTTCGGGTTTCACGTAGCCGCGTTACTTTTCCAGGATTTCACAACTCCGTGCTACTTTCCCCCCGTCTTCTACGATCCGGTAGAAACGTATCTTCCGTGATCTGGTGCTTTGATCACCAAGCCCACACCAATCACGCCCAATGTCCTCCGACACTGCTGCTTCGGATCTCACAGCTCCGTGTGACAATCCAGGATTTCACAACTCCGTGTTACTTTTCTCCTTTCCCTTGTTTTGCTCCAAAACAAGTTTTGCCTTGCTTCCAACTTTTGAGACTCTGTAGATGATCTTCAATGGTGCGCTGAGTCTCTTGAAGTTGATGAAGATTTTAACACTCTTGGATATTTCTTTTCTAAGCTCTGTATCACTCTGAGTGTTTATCTCACAAAAGATAGATCAATTTAAGCTCCTGAGATGGAAAGCTTTCTTTGAATTTTGTATGCTCTGTTTAGCTCTGTTCTTTGTATTTTGCTTTTCTTGCTTCTGCCTTCCACTGCTTCAATCTTCATCTATTTATAGCTGGTAATGAGAATCCATCCGTTGGAAAGAAACGGTCTCATTTTCGAATTTTGCTTAGCTGTATAGCCTTTTGTCAGAAGATAAGATAACGTTGCAGATCTTGTCAGATATTTCAAATTGAGCTTGAGGTTTCAGCAAAAATGGCGTCCCATGAATCTCCATCTGGTGTAGATCACGCCTCTTGGGATTTTTATCTTCAAAATATATTCTCCAATATAATCCCTTACTAGTTAGACTAGTATTTTTGCTCCTGCAACTTCTTCTAATATCTTCCTCTGTTTTTCGTGTATCTGGGTCTGTATACTGCTTCCAAACTTCATCTCTTCAATTGACTTGGAAATCTCTTCCCTTGTGAAACTTCATCCCTTTCTATTTTGGGAAATGAAATCTCTATCCCTTGCTAGATTTGTCAATTGAAATTCTCATCCCTTACTTGATTTGGAATTGCAATCTATATCTCCAATTGAATTGAAGCCTTGTAAATCTCATCCCTTCAAATTGTTCGGGGTTCCAATTTGTTTGGGATACCAATTTGAGAAGCTGCTTTCGATTTCGGGGTTCCAATTTGTTTGGGATACCAATTTGAGAAACTGCTTTCAATTTCGGGGTTCCAATTTGTTTGGGATACCAAATCTCATCCCTTCAAATTGTTCGGGGTTCCAATTTGTTTGGGATACCAATTTGAGAAACTGCTTTCGATTTCGGGGTTCCAATTTGTTTGGGATACCCTCGGGGTTCCAATTTGTTTGGGATACCAATTTGAGAAACTGCTTTCAATTTCGGGGTTCCAATTTGTTTGGGATACCAATTTGAGAAACTGCATCCCTTCACTTGTAAACTTCATCCCTTAGTCAATTTGGAAATCTCATTCCCTTTGACTTTGCAAATTGCATCCCTTGAAATCTCATCCCATAGTCAAATTGGATATTGGAAATCTCATCCCTTCGGCCAAACCATCGCCTCTTACTTGATCAGATGGGAATTTTAACTTGGCTTCTTAAAACATGTGGGATGTGAGATTTGAACCTGTAACCTTGCACATAATATTTTAAGCTTCTAACATCTCGTCTGTACAACCTATTGGTTATCTTCTTGTTCCACTTGGTGTACTCCTTTCTTTCCATAGATGCTTGATCTTCAAGATAGCTTCATGCAAACTTCTAGTCACGTTCTTTCTTCTTCGGAATTTCTTGAGGGATTTTCTCAAATTTCATACGCATACATCTTCCTCTTCTGTTTGCCATTTTCTCTTGACAAATTCTTGATTTTTGGCTTGATATCTTCTTCATCCATTTCCTCAACTAATGAATTTATTTTTCCCTTTCTTGGTCTAAGACTCGACTAGTCTAATAAAATAAAATTGGGGATCTACGAATTACAATATGGCATATCAAAATCTATTACAATTTATTCCTAACAAGTGGATCACGGATCGTACTTGGAAGGAATCACTTAGCACCATGCCCTCATCACGGATTTCAACGAAGATTAATTGAAAATCTTCTACCTGACTTAGCACAGTTTTGGAATCAACCATTTTGAAGTCGAGGAATCGGCCAACCACAAATTTCTTTGTACCGGCATCCTCACTTCTATATTTATGATCCAAGGCTTCCCATAGTGCCTATGATGTACTTATCTTTCGATATACATCGTATAGCGCGTCACTTAATCCGTTCAGGATGTAGTTTCGGTATAGGAAGTCCGAATCCTTCCAAATGCCAACCGCCATCACGGACTGGACATCTTGTTCCTTCATCTCAGGAACTTTCTCGGTCAAGAACCTTGCCAGGCCGAGAGTTGCTAGGTAGAACAACGTCTTTTGCTACCACCTCTTGAAATTCGATCCAACACCGGTGAACTTTTCAGGCTTTTCAGCTGATCCGCTCGGTACCGAAGGTACCTGAGTCATGGGAATATATCCCTCAGTGCTCCCACCATCTTGTGAACCAATGTTCACTGGTGGTGCTTGGGAATTAGCAACATTATTGCCGTTCCCACCACTGTTGTTCTCAACAACATTCTCCTCTCCTAGATTAGCCAGGGCGGGATTCTCCATTTCTTCAAGAAAATTAGAGACAAAACACAACCAACAAGAAACAAGGCAAATAAGATTTTAAGATTGTTGGGTAATTTCTTGTTGGTAAACTCAAAAATAATAATCCTTCGAAACAGATTATTATAATTCAAAAGGGCAAATAATTTGGGAAGGAAAAGGTGATAATTCGGTTTAGAGGTTAACACGAGTTGAACGAATTGTTTTTCTCCTTAAAACCTTATTTGCTACCTCCCACAAGTGCTAGGAGCGTTGTAGCCTAGGTTTCCCAGGATAAAACGTGCTACGGTTCAGTGTTTGAGCACCCAAACAAAGAACCCGGCGAACAAGAGCAAAGCTTAGAACACAGTAGGCTAAGAGAGGAGTAAAATGAGAGATTTTGGAGTTGGACACAGTAGACCACAATATAGCTGCTTAAAATGTCATTTTATGTCAATTTATGCTATTTCTTCCAACAGCAATGACCCCTGAGGCAGCAATAGTTTGTAGGCAAAACACCAATTTTCTCAGTTACCTTATAGGGCCCAAAGTATCTAGAAGACAGCTTTACATTCTTTCTTACCGCTACTGACACCTGCCTGCCTGTAAGGTTGAAGCTTAATGTGCACCCAATCACCAACCTCCAGTGATCTCTTAGACCTGCCCCTATCAGCCAACTGTTTCATTCTGTGTTGGGCTTGCTTCAAGTTTTCCCTAAAGGCTGCTAGGATGGTGTCCCTTTCTGACAACCAGTCATGTCCACCTCCTCCTGTGAGAGTTCCTACTGCAAGTATGGTTGGAGTATAGCCATCACTAGTACAAAATAGAGCAAAGAAATTTGATTTTAGGCTACCCTTCTTTAAATAAGGGCAGTGTATTGTTTTAAAAAAAGGGAACGGTGATATAATTGTAAATAAATGAATAAGAATTCGCTACCCTTTTAAGAAAAAGGTAGCGGCTTTTTTTTAAAAAAAAAAAAAAGAATAAAGTATCCACTACCCTTTCTAAAAGAAAGGGCAGCGCGGAAACGGATCTGGGTACAAAAAAAAAAAAAAAAAAAAAAAAAAAAAAAAAAAAACCTTCAAAACCAGACGAGATCTCGCTCTCACACCTCTCAAGCAAACAGAAGATGTCGTCCTCACCACACCTCCGCCGTCGACACCGCCTCCCTCATCCTCCAACGCCGCCGCTGACATCGCCTCTCTCACCACGACTCCCTCAGCCTCGATCAAAAGCTGCCGCCGACACCAAGCTAAGGACTCCAACGCCTCTCTCATCAGCCACCCACAACTCCGCCACCACCGTCTCCACCGCCAAAGTTCTCCTCAGCCGCCGTCGCGGCTGCTTCTGCGACTTCCATAGTTCTCATTCTAAGTATAGTTGTATATATGTTATTTTGGTGTCAGTCTTTCGTTCGGCTAGTTTTTAATGTAAGGAGAGTGGAAGTACAATGTTCTGAGATAGCTTATTTGTTTCCTTTGTTCATAACAGAAGATCAGGAAGGGCTGCTGTAGCAGGAAATAACTTCCATATTATGTGGTATGTATTCTGTGATTTTTGTTTATGAGATGCATTCATACAATTCTAGACTAATTAATGTCAGCTGTTTTTTTAAATAAAATTTATGTGCTTTTCTCCCTTTAGCTAGTTGATTGACTGAGGTCCCCAATGTGATGATCAAAGTTTGGTTGTGACTTGTGAGTTCTAACTGTCAGTTGATGTTAAATTTCTGAGTTTAAAAACCTGGAGGTTGGCTATTCTTCAACCTGAAAATTTTGAAGTTTGTGAAACACAACATTCACAAACCAATGAAATATTTATTGTACCTAGTTGTTCAAGAACCTGACTCTACCTTATTTTTGGCTCTGTATGCTGTGAATGTTAAAAACTTATGATGAGGGAAGGTTTTAAGTGCTGTTTTTTTACCTTATTGTGCATCATTCTTTCTATTTACATGATGTCTTGCATATGCATTTCTGTTGACTGCAGGTGACGTAGATTCAAAAGTGGTCAATCCACCAAAATCACAAGTGATTTGCAGTGATAAGACTTTAGAAAATGTTTTGGGTGTACCATGTATCTCAAACATTCCAAGTAGTGATGTATCTTTGCGCCGGAAGGAAGTTTCGCAAGAAAGGAAACGAAAGTGAGTTTTAAAGATCTGCCAAAAGACTCGTCTAGACCGCTTAGTTGAATTATGCTTTAACCAACTGGGAATAGATGCTACAGTTCAGGTATTCGGTAAACTTCGACGGGAAACTGGCCTGGTAGAATATAATGCATTGATAAGGAGTTGTATAGAAAAGGCAAGGAGGATGGACAATGAAGAAGAGTCATTAAAGGAACTTTCTGTTGCATATAAATTTCTGAAATCAATGATGGAGCAAGGTTTCCAATTACAGGAAGACTTTTATGGTCAAGTTCTTATGTATTTAATTGATTGTGGCATGGTTCCAGAGTTTCACTTTTACTGTGAACTCATAAGAGATGGAAATGCTGATTCGCTTCCAAATTTAGCTTACTATGAGATGTTGCTGTGTTTATAAACACCAAAAATATTGATAAAGTAGAAGAACTCTGTTATAATCTTGCACTCTATGATGGCAAAGACAAAGACATCTTTCTAGGTTTGTAACTCTAACAGGGCGTTTGGTTGGAGGGATTTTAAATTCCCTTCCCACTTAATTCCCACCTAATTCCAAAGGCCATTAAATTTCGTAGTTTGGTTGGAGGGAATTGCAAATCCATGGAATTACAATTCTTCCATTTTCACGGAATTCAAATCCCATGTCCCCCCCTGGAATTTTAATTCCTGGCAAAAAAAGATGCTGATGAGTCAAAATTACCCCTTCCTTTTTTAACCTAAAATTAATGTCTAACAACAATAATGGGCATTTTTGACTTTATACTACTTATTCCCTTTCAATTCCCATGTATACCAAACATTGGAATTGAAATTCCCAGTAATTCTTTTCCTGTCAACCAAACACTGGAATTTAAATTCCCACTTTATTCCCAGTAATTCAACTCCCATGGAATTACAATTCCTTTCCCACATAATTCCCCCCCTCCAACCAAACGCCCTGTAAAGGTTCTAATGCTTTTTGATCTTTTATGTGTTATGCATAAAAGTTTTTTATGGTTCCTGTGAATTGTAAACATGCCATTTTATAGTTACCTGGCTCAGTGGTCAGTGGTTTGAGGGTTCTCTCTTTCTCATTGGGCTTTGCATGTGGGATAATCTTGATCTTCATTTTACAATTTACAAAAGACATTGTTAAAGATTTCTCATTATTTAAAAATACTTATCAGACCTAATACTTATCATAAATGTTGCATAAAAATATCTATTAGCAATGTCCAGTGGTGGCTGTAAAGAGCAGTTTTTGCAGCTTTTGAATACTCTTGACATAACAAAAGTTACTTCCATGAAAAGTTTAACATGCATCTTCAAATCCTTGGGGAAGTTAATGTTGGAGAACATTGCAGAGAAGTGCTTTCTAGATTTGAAAACCAGTGGTAAGATAAAAATCAACATCATTATTATTTGGGGATATTACCTATTCTTGCTATTGTTAGATGACTTAGATCATGGTTTTTCTTAAGGCAAAGATTTCTTGTTAGGCTTCTCATATATGAATTGACATAACAGTCTATGTATCTGGTGAAAACAGCTTACTGGGCATTACTTGTGTCAGTTTATGGTTAAATTGGTATACGTCTTAGAATGAACAGATAGTTGTTTTACTTTGTATATTGTGAATCTCAAATCTTATGTATATATGTTTAAGTGTTTCTGAATTCAGTGGCAGATGTTTCTCCTGATGGCAAGTATCTGACTGCAATTAAGGATCCTGACAGGGTAACCTCAATTAACCTTTAGTACCAATGCTAAACTGTGTCTGTCTGTCTGTCTTGTTGTGATCTTCCAGTTCCTTGGCACTGTGTTTCAGAGATTCGGGAGCATTCATGGCGCCTTTGACAACAGGGCGTGTAACCATACCATCCATTGTAACTTACTCAGCAAAAGTAAAACACATTACTCTTCTCTGATTTAGTATTTCTGAAAGATTGATAAGTATTAAATTAGAATTGTTCTGTAATAAGACTTGGATATTCATCAGGTGGGCATAGCAATTGCCATAAGATACTCATTGACAAGGAGAACATTTTCAGTCACACCAAATGGACCTGAAGTTTTATTGCTTGATTACCCCAGCCATCAAAGACGACTACTCCCTCTTCTTGCAAAGACGTAAGTAGCTGTGTCTGCATTTCTCCTCATTGCCCTTTCCTTTCTGCTTGTGTCACGTTTTATGTCACAATTTTGATTCTATACTTGGTTAACCGAGGTTGTTAATAACTAACTAAGCCCTCGCCCTACCACTGTTTTTGTTATGACTTTTTCCTGCTCTTCTAAGTGAAAATTGCTTATCAACACTGTTCTTTTGCTGCAGATATGCCATGAGCTTTGCTGCTAACTTCTTGAAAAGGATGTATGTGAAGAGGAAACCTGAAATCATCAAAACCTTACATGTTGTTTCAAGTGCCTTTAAGGCTACCTTAAGCTGGCATAATATGCGAACACTTCAGGTAGTAGCAGACATCACAGTTGTGATCAAAATGTCTTGTGGAGTCCATTTTTAACTTTTATTTTAGATTAAATATTATCTTGTGTTTATTATTTATTATTGTGATGAAATATTGAGATTGATTGATATAAAATATTGTATTGATAGTATTGTATTGAAAGTACATTGATAATATTCTGTTCATAATATTGTATTTATATGTAGTTTATGAATTCGGTGTACAAGATTTTTAAAAAATTGGGAATTTTAAAAATAATAAATGATTTTTTTTTTTGTAAAAAAGTAAACCATCCGCTACCCTTTCTTCCTAGAAAGGGTAGTGGAAGGTAACGAAAAAAAGAATAATAATAATATGCCCTACCCTTCTACAGTTAGAAGGGTAGCGGATACTCAACTTTCGCGGAAAGCCCAGGATTTTCTGCGACCTTAACATCCGCTACTCTTGTACAAGGGTAGCGGATAGTCATTTACAAGCGTAGCAGATGTGTATTTCTGTACTACTGCATACAGAGCTTGGAAGGAGTGCATTTGAGAGGGCTATGATAATTTGTGTTATACCCACTAGTACAAAAATAGTCATATGCGTCGAAGGAAATATACAATACACGTCAAAAGTTGCTTGGACGCGTATGTAGAAGACGCAGATTGTACATACAATCTGCGTCCAAGGTTACTTTGGATGCACATAATGACTATACGCGTCCAAAGTTCAAGAACTTTGGACGCATATAGTATTATTTTTAGTTTTAAAAAATACTATATGCGTCAGGTGTACGGTAACATTTATATTTATGGCTTGTAATAATGATAGAATCAAAAATATCATCCTGACATTATTTAAATCTGATAGTTTACGAATGGGATAACGAAAAGTTTGTAAAGCAAAATTCTGATATGCACTATTTCAAATTACAAACATTTAAAGTTCCAATACACATGGGATGTCGGAAAGTTACAAAAGCATTTAATTAAGCTAAATATTCGTGCACTTAAAACGACGTAGTATTGTTTAGGCGGGAATTTTTTCTACTAATTCATTTTGCTTTAATATATATAGAGATAGAGATAGAGATTGTGCATATATTATTCACAAAATTCAGTATTATTATAATAATTATAATTATTAGTACAAAAAATATATATATTTTTAATTCTATTAGTATAAAATTTTTATTGGTAATATTACTATTATTATTATTATTATTATTATTATTATTATTATTATATTGGTATTTATTTTATTTTTAATAATTATAACAATAATAATAATTAATAACTAGTGTTTATTAGCAGGAGTTTGGTTGCATTATCATCATTATTATTATTATTATTATTATTATTATTATTATTATTATTATTATTATTATTATTATTATTATTATTATTTGTATGCATAGAAGTGTTATTATTATTTTATGTTATTATTATTTATGTAGTGCTATTATTATTGTTGTTGTTGTTATTATTATTATTATTATTATTATTATTATTATTATTATTATTATTATTATTTTATTACGTGTATGCATCACATTACCGATATTGGTCAGAGTAGTGGTATACAGTATAGTGATGTTAGTAGCAATTACCTATCACATTACCGATATTGGTCAGAGTAGTGGTATACAGTATGGTGATGTTGGTAATAGTTACCGTCATATTACCGATATTGGTTAGAGTAGACCAGGGCGGTTAACGAAGCGAACATAAACGAACGGAGGTTGTTCGTGTTCGTTTGTTAAGGTTTTATATATGTAGTGTTCGTGTTCGTATTCGTTTGTTAAGGTTTTTGAAAATCATATTCGTGTTCGTTTATTAAGCGTTCATTACTGTTTGTTAACGTTCGCGAACACGTTCACGAATGTGTTCGTTAACAATAATGAACACGTTCACTAGCACGTTCGTTAACATTAACGAACATGTTTGTTAACAAGCACGTTCACGAACATGTTCATTAATATTTGCGAACATGTTCGTTCACGTTCATAAACATGTTCGTGAATGCTTAATAACCAAACTTATGAACATGTTCATGATCACAATTCGTTCGTGAACAAGAAATAATCTATGTTCACAGAAAATAACCAAACAAGTAACACAACTACAAAGAGAATACAAACAAATATCAAACGAAAAATAAACGAGCTTGTTCGTGAACATTATTAAACACACACAAAAGAGCTTGTCCACGATCTCTAGCAAACGAGCTTACAATTGTTCAAAGTCTGTTCGTTTATTAACCGAGCTCATCTATGTCTATTTGTTAATGAAATGGACTTTGATAGTCACCTAAACCTATATGTAATCCATTTCTCCTTTGTTAGAGCATATGTTCAAACATACTTACTTTCTCAAATCTAATGAAGCACACAGAGTCAACAATGTAACACCTACCTCTATGTAATCCACTGCTCCTTTGTTAGAGCATCCGTTCTGTTCAAACATCCTCTATGTAATCCATTGCTCATTTGTTAGACCATCTGTCTTTCTCAACCTAATGAAGCACACAGAGTAACAACGCCTACCTCTATGTAATCCATTGCTCATTTACTTTCCCAACCTAATGAAGCACACAGAGTCAACAACGCCTATGTAATCCATTCCTCCTTTACTTTCTCAACCTAATGAAGCACACAGAGTCAACAACGCCTACCTCTATGTAATCCATTGCTCCGTTGTTAGAGCATCTGTTCAAAACATACTTACTTTCTCAACCTAATGAAGCTCACAGAGTCAACAACGCATCCACTGAGGCTCGACCTCATGACCTCCCACATGGGAGAGATCACTACATGTCATCTAAGCACAAGGTGCTTGGCCATTAATTAATTTTTTTATTAACAATATAAAAAAATAATTTTTTTAACATTAATTAATTTTTTTATAACATTAATTATTTAAAAAAAAAATGAATTTCATAATATTTTTTGAAAATTGTGTTGTATTTTCTAATATCAATATTATGTCGTATGTATTTTAATTTTTATTCTGTTATAGTTTTTCTTGGTGTATTTAAAATTTTAATTAATATATATTCAATATTAGTCTTGTTTCGATCGTCTCAATGAGATATTTAAAATGATATAATTTATATTTAATAATACAAAATTTAAATATAAGTATTTAACAAAATAAAAAAATTACATATAAAACAAATAAATGATGCATTTGGAATTATAAAAAGAAGCAAGGGCAAAATAGTCAAAAAAAATTTAAAAAAAAAAGAATGTGAAAAGTTTGTGGCATTTTTGGCCAAAGCAACAAAAAAAAAAAAATAGAAGAAGGTAGTTCAATTATCTTCTTTTCCAATAGGGTTTTGAAAAGAAGGTAACGGCATTAGTACTTTACACATTTTTTACTAGGGTTTTGAATCAACCCATTTTTGTCTCATTCTTGTCAAATCCACACATTTGTTGTTATATCCATTCCAATACAATGTCAAATTAGGTCTTCTAGCACAACGAATTAAATAACATTTGTAATCCTTCCGTTCATGTTGCGTGTACTTACCGTGCATTTTGCGTGTTCTTTGCTTTGTTCTTAGATTGTGAATAATGTTACCTCGTACGTTTCACGTTGTTGCAAAAAATGCTCCCAACCCCCGAAAATACGAACAATAATTGACATGCCATATGAAAAATGTAAGTTGAGAAGAAATTTGGTATGTATTAATTACATTAAGCGTGCTTGACTTACATGATGGGTGACCTACTGGGAAGTAAGCAGATGAGTGACTCTAGGCAGATTTTCAATTTTGAGAAATCATCTGTGTGTTTTAGCAATAATGTTAGTGAAGGAATGAGGGGGGAGTGGGAGAAAATTTGATAATTGAGAGTGTGGGGGGGGGGGGAATGGGAATTATCTCAGGTTACCCATGTTGGTTGGTAGAAATAGGCCGGAAGCAAATTTTTGGTTTTATTAAGACCAAAGTTTTGAATAGTATCCAGGGATGGAATCATAAGTTCCTTTCTAGGACGGGTAGAGAGGTATTATTAAAGAGTGTTATTCAGGCCCTCCCTTCCTAGGCTATGGGGGGTTTTCCTTATCCACAGAGATAGAAACAATTTTGGAAGGCTATTGGTGGCGAGGGAGTGGGAGGGATTATAGGGGTATCCATGGAAAGTTTTAGAAGCAGTTTTTTGTTCATAAGCAGTGGGGCTAGGGATGGGGGGGGGGGGGGGGGGATTTGGGTTTCGGAATTTAAGGGATTTCAATTTGGCCATGCTATGCAAACAACTCTAGAGATTGGTCCAACAACCAAACTCATTGGTAACTCTGATTTATAAAACTAAGTACTTCCCCAATTCATCATTTTTGGAGGATAAGAAAGGGTCAAATCTCTCGTTTATTTGGAGCATTTTGCTACAAACAAAGGAGATCCTAAGATAGCATAGTAGATGAAGAGTGAGCATGGGTGATCAAATCCAAATATGGAGGGCAAATTGGCTTCCAGGTAATAAGGCCAATCCAAAAGTAACCTCCTTTCCACATACCATACAACATGCTCAAGATAAGTTGATATGGGACCTTGAGAAAGACGGCGATCTTCTTGGTTAAGACTTGTTACACAATGTTAAGTGGAGAATTGCCCGATGAGAATAAATAGAGATAGTCAATTCTATGGCAATTAAAAATTTCTCTAAAGGTGAAATTTTTTTTCTAGCAAGCATGTGTCAACTGCCTCCCAACGAAAGATATGTTTCGCTCTGGGAAAGTAAGTTGTAACAACCGCTATCAAATCTGTGGTACTGGAAAAGAGTCTGCCTATCATCTATATTATATTTGTGCAATGCATTTTAGCAAATGAATGCTAGAGAAGACTAGGATTACAACTGTTGCATACAAGTGAGCCTTCCTACCACGAGTGGTTCAACCAGAATTGTTCTAATAAGCTTAGCAATATCTAGTGTTGTCTTTTAATAATGTGTTGCTGGGAAATTTGGAAGTAGAGGAACAAGAAGGTGTGTCACAACCAGGATGCTCAAACGGCTTACTCAACTATCCAAGCTCAGAACTCTTGGCATACTGGAGAGAAGCAACTAAACCCACCAATTTCAATTTTCCTACATTCAACCATATGCTC